TTCAAGGTAGGCAACGCATATACGCGTATGTCTATGGGCAACGGTCACTTTGCTATTACAGCGATTTCCAGTGGCCGCTCACTCATTTGCCATCTTAAGATATAAAAAAAAAGATTATGCATTCGAATTTAAGCGTTAATTTACAAGCGTCTACTTCGTATTATTATGACTTACTGTAAATATATAAACCTATTAATTATGTGCAATAATTTATATTCAATATCATTACACAGCTCATCAATATTTCTTTGACAATGTTGCAAATGTATTCCTGTATATACATACGTAATTATTACAAATTCGCTATGTCTAGTCAAAGAATATAATTCCGATCCCACTTCGGATTAAATCTTGCTATCTGACTAATCTGATTAATTAATTGATTATAAACTAGCTGTCGCCCGTGACTCCGTCCGCGGATATATAAAAAAAAACTTTATATATAGATAAGTTAAATAAAAAGCAACTCTTCAAGGCAATAATTCAAAAAAAAATAATAAATAGTATCCGATGTCCCTCTCCTGGCTCTAAGCTACCTCCTCACCAATTTTCAGGCATATCGGTAAAGCCATTCTTGAGTTATAAATAGTGCAACTAACACGACTTTCTTTTATATATATGCGAATGTTTGGATGGACGGATGTTTGTTTGAAGGTATCTCCAGAATGGCTTAACGGATACCGTTAAAATTTGGCACATATGTAGAACATAGTCTGGAAGAACACATAGGCTACTGATAAAGTAATTTTTAGTTCCGCGCGGACGGAGTCGCGGGCGACAGCTAGTATCGTTATACAACGACCATTTGACATATATACAAAGTAATTTTAAGTTTATTGTATATGTTATCAATATAATCAATTAACTGATAAGATTATGTCCTACTTTAAATTCTCAATAGATACGGTAACTTAATTGGTAAGAATGCAACGGAAAGCTTCAATACTTTAGGAGAAATTGAAATTTTAAATTTGCTATTTGTAGCTTTCGCCCGCAACTACGAGTACGTCTGCGTGGAATTAAAAAAAAACTTAGTATCCTATGTGTTCTTCCAGACTATGTTCTACATGTATGCAAAATTTCAACAAGATCCATGCAGCTGATGATATCGTCCAACATCCATCCATCCATTCAAAAATTCGCATTTATAATATTAGTAAGATGTGATATGATATTTGCTACAAATCTTCATATAGTAGAGTTAACGGCATTATTTTTCCTTTTAAGTAAAGCTGATCTCGCTTGAGACAATTGCGTTCTTAGAACCGGAATTGTAACTTGTTCTTGCTGAGCAACGCAAACTACACGACTGCTCTGTGCTGTAATACTCTGTGCATGTGTGAGGAGCTACAGTGATATACAAACTTATACCGCAATAACACAGAAGATACGCGTCAAGTGGAAGTAATTCCGCGTTCGATTAATAAGTGGGTGCAAGAAATCAATTCTAGTTCTGCGGGGTTTTCCTTAGCAAACTTCAAAAATGTATATAACTGACCATAATTTTCGATAAGTCACGTGATTGTCGCGCGTTAGTTCTATGCATTTTTGTAGTTCACTATGGACTCGCTATGAAGTGGATGCACTTTGTCTAACCCCCCAGTTTCCTTTATCATCCTTGAATATATGGGAAGTGATAGTGGATTTGAAACTGCAGGGACGTGTAAGTAGACGTATAAGTAATCTACTTTCTGTACGTCCCTTGGCGATAAACGATCACAAATAATCACGAGCCGTCATAAAGTTTGAATCTTGTAATACAACACACATTGAGGTATAGCTTTATAGGCATCCAAGCTTCTATAGCTGTCTTGAAATGGATCTAAAGTTTCTTTAAGATTTTGAATGAATTATCACGATTTCATTAACCGTTGGTTTCTGAGACCTAAATCTCTGTATAAATCATATCGTTATTACTTGTACCTTGACAAAACAGAGATATCATATTTTAAACGATAATTTTAGTCTCAGAAATCCACATTAAGAGATTGAATATTATCTTGCCAGATACAACAGCGCAAAATACAATTGCAAGTAACACAGATAATGGCCGACATCCGTAAGACAAATCTTCGTGGTAAGTCAGGATCGTCCCCGATCATTGCTTTATTGTTTTAAATTAAATGAAATGGACCACGACTGCCGTGTACAAACGTCAACAACATACTAGAGAACGGCCCCGACTTCACTTGTCACATAAAATTATTTTAAAACACTAGTTTCATACATTATTTGTTTACATCTGTCACAACTCACAGACCTTGGCACTTAAGTAATAAACACGTCAATTGAATGATAACTTATCAATCAATTAATATAGCTAAAGAATCATCTTCACTTCACAGATTTGTATTTATGTATGTTTGTAATAATTCAACTCATAAACTAAAAACCGATTTAAAAATTTTTTACTAATCATTCTAAAACTTGATTTTGTAATGAAAACGCACCATTCGCGCCAAAAGATTCTATAAAAGTTCCGAGTAATCTCCGGAAGGACTAGACCGATGTTGACGGGTGCTGGACATTAAAGTAACTGAAACACGCGGGCATGTTATAGGCTTTTTTTAATTCTTCTAACGAAGCCGAAGGCGACTGGTAGTTTAAAAAAATCACTTTACTAGACAATAAGAAACAATATAAAATTATACACATGCATGTTGCCGACAGATACGGAACCTTTTTATACGTTTTTTTACTCATAATTTTTATATTTTTGTATTTGGAACTTAATATATTTTTTCTACCTTTTTCTGTCTATTTAAAATATTAGTTGTAAATATATCTTCTAACAGTGCGTGCTGATTTTTTCATTTCATTATTCTATTTTATATTTTCTTTTTTCTTTTTAAAAGTTTTGTAAATTTACTAATATTTTTTTATCATTCCAACTAAGCTCTAGGCTTGTGCTAGGATATGGTTTACAATAGTCGAATGGCAGGATTCGAACCCCCGACCTCGTGATCGGAAATCAGTACCCTTAACCATTAGGCTATTGACGCTTCAAATTTTATTATATAATATTCCAAAATTTATATAAATCACCTCGGGATATACATCAACGTTTGTTATAACCAGTGTTAGTGAATTACGCCTCTAAGGTCGCATGCGAGCGCGCACATTCACTTGTTAAAAATTAACGTAAAAACATACCAATATTTAGTCGCGCTCAGGGGCTCGACCTTCATATTATTAAAGTCTTTTTACACTAAGCCATAAAAATAATTTTCAAGTACCGTTTTTATCGGCCTGGCTGCAACTGATATAAATTACAATTAGTGGAATAGGGGTTTAATAATTTACTGTATCAGATATCAAACCTCATTTGATATATACTGCGTGGTCATGTGTAAACAACTGACATATGAACTAATTAATTAATTATGTTGATTACTTTTAATTATACTTAATTAAAATGTAATGTTGGTGTTATTTTTTAAATTGCAATAACTTTAACTTAATATACTTATTGAAGAGCTTTTTTAATATTCACAGTATAATCTCACTAATCCACTGCGATAGATTATATTCGTAAGACACGAAAATTCCAATAATCCGGAACTATTTATATATAACTAATTTCATAAAAAAACTGATATAAAAACGGCTAAACACTCACGTATAATCGTCCGGTGGCGGCACCGACTAGTTTCGAGCCCATCGGGGGCCCTTGATCAGGATGAGTGGTACTGGTATTATTTCGCGGACTATCAGATTATTATGTCTCACGAAAGTTTGAATAATTTAATTTCATAAACTTCTAGGATTATGTATCTTCCAATAACTTATAAACACTATTTTATAAAATAGATAAAGGAAATATGTAAAACTTTATCTAGAGAACTTAATGCGATGTAAGTAAAAACTTGCGATATCTATATATACAAAAGAAATGTTATTAGAAAGCGGTTCAACTGTAAAATACTACTAGTATAATTATAACATCCTCAATAATAAAAAAGAAGTCGAAATACTATTTAGATAACGCAAAAAAATTATACGAACGGATAGAAATCGAAAGCAACTAAATATGCAAAAGAAATGGATTGATACCTAATTCGTCAAAATAAATTCAATTTAAGATACAGACGATCATTATTTTTTAACTAAACACACATATAAAACCTACTTGCTTACGCATTACAGCTGATAAAGTCACTATAAAATTTTAAAAATACAATTCGAATATAAAACCTCATTTTGGCAACAAAAAATATATAACGGCATTGAAATACCTGTGTACCTGAATTGTTATTTAAAATTGTGATGTTACGTACAATTAATTCAAGACATTTATCGATAAGGTTAATTAGTAAACATGAAATGAAAAAAAAAAACGACAAAAGTTAAATAGCTGCCATTGTTTTAATGTCGTTGTAGTGATTTATAATTCAAAACTAAATGACATATAAATAAAAAGTAATTTATTTAACTAGCTGTCGCACGCGACTCCGTCTTCAAATTTAAAAAAAAAACTTAATTAGTAGCCTATGTGTTCCTCCAGACTATGTTCTACATTCATGGTAAATTTCATCGAGATCCGTTCAGCCGTTCTGGAGATACCTTCAAACAAACATCCATCCATCTAAACATTCGTATTTATAATATTAATAAGAAGTAACAAAATACTTTTGGTTCAATGAGACTATCGCAATTAGGAACACTTAAAAAAGAACACAACTTTAATACGCTACTTAATTAGTAAGGACTATTGTTATAATAAAGTAAAATATGAAAATATATTTAGACAACGTTGAAATACTGTCTATACGTAATGTTATTTACAATAATTGCATACGAACGGGTTTATCCGTGTAGTGTAGTAAACAGAAAAGGTCACAATCCCAACTCAACCGGTACTAAACAGAAATTACGATCTTAACCACAGACAATAGCCCATAAATTCCCGCCAAATGATTTATTACAATTTATAATCTGTTGTAATTGTTTACACAAATAATTTTGAGTTATGTCTTAAAATAAATAAATATTAAACTCACCGATTCTATTATAATTTGAAGATATAAACAAATAAACAATCCCGTTTTGAACAAGGTTTTTTTTTAAATTGTATTATTGAATATCACGCGCGTAAAATATCGTATCGTTTCTACGCGAACTAAAACTCGTGTACTCACGATCGCAGCGCAAGCGACAATGTCTAGAGTGGAGCTCTGTGGTCTAGAGCGGTACTAAACGGACCAAATACTGACTTGTGTGTTACGTCACTATCTTTTTATACACAGAAACATGCTATTATCGGACCAAAATATTTTATCGACACCTGTAATAATGATGTAGTACAACAATAAACAACATATCGATAATCAATATTCTATTGTATCGATATTCTATTTTAATCTTTTAAGAAAGATAAAGAAAAGAATTAAAAAAATTGTTTTCTTGAAAATTTATGTATCAAATTATGATATAATTTAATAGTGCTTAATAATTACATTATTAATTATTTATTCTTAGTTACATTTTGTCTAAATATAAGGGCTTTTTGAGCTCATGGAATGTATTCTAGTAGTCCTATATATAGGAAACGTATAAGTATTATTCGCCCGACTGCGATTCATGATTTTTAAAAGTTATTTTTTGACCTCTTATAGCCTAAAACTTAAACGGTTTTAAAAAGTTTTTATTTGATAACTACCAAATAGTTTTTAATGATTATCGACATATAGAGTCACATCACTAGCTCATCAAGCATTAGCCGCACGTAGTTATCACATCACACAAGACATGTACGCCGAATCCCTCATGCATATCATCTCTGGGGCTGTGATGTAACACGGATTATACCGATTAATAATCAATTGTAACTAAATAAGTAGATGCGTCGCACGAATAGTATAATATTTAAGGCATTGTAGGCAGAGCTGTCTTAAGTTAAACTGCAACGGCCCGCTTAAAATCAGGTGGGATCGTGGTGATGCGCTAGCTTATTCAATAAAAAAAAATTATGACAAACCATGTCTAATCATCATCATCATCAACCTCGGGGTCGGCACAGTATGTACTACTTCTCCATACATCTCTATCAGCCGTCATATCAGAGTCTACCCCCTTCTTACGCATATCCTCTTTCACACAGTCCTTCCATACTTTTTTTGGTCTTCCCCTACCCTTGTAGCCATCCACATTCAATCTCATTACTTTTTTACTTATATCATCATCATCATCCCTCTACATAACATGTCCAAACCACGTTAATCTTTTACTCCTCAATTTCTCGATCACTGGCGCTACTTTCAAACTCCCTCTAATATACACATTTTTAATTTTTTACTCCTTGTCACACCACACATCCATCTTAGCAACCCTGTAATACATACTTTAAAATGTTTTGGCATTAAATGTTTTTACTGGCCGGCCGCCTGCCTGACGCCAAATGTCAACAAACCATGTCTAATGGTCAGTTAATTTTAAAAGTTCAAAAGTTTGCGATAATATTAAATTAATTTAATTAATGCATTTAAACATCATGTGCTATGTATTTTTATTTGCCTAATTTTAATGATAATATTTACGTGATATTCAACGATTAAATATTATCAGAAAAAAGGATTTATCAACGGTAGCAGTTAGAAGGAATATGAAATCTTGTTACTACGAAATAAATGAAACCCTCATCATAAAATTATGTCGTTTATTAAATTTATAATATCAGATAAGCTTACATTAATAGTAAAATGTATATTAATAGCTTAAGATTACGAAAATGTAATCCTTCAAAAGTAGCTATCGCCCGCGACTTCATTTGCGCGGAAAAAAAAAACTTAGTTGCCAATGTGTGTTTTCCAGACTATGTTATGCATCTATGCTAAAAAGAGAGATTTGGACTGGCTGGCTGGTCTTTGATTTACGTAAAAACCATCCATCCATTGATCCTAACTTTCATATTTATATTATTAGTAAAATTACTAAGATGAGTCTGTGGTTTTTATCTAACGAAATAAAAATCATAATTGCTCAAATCTTTCAATTAAAATGTTCAATAATCTAGACTTTTTGAAAGGGTTAGGGTCCTTCAAGAGGCGAGCGTATCTCTATTCAAAAGCTGGCAATGCATCTGCGGTTTCTCAGGCTTTGTTGACTATGGACTTCGATGCTCGTATGTCCCCTTTTTTTTTCAGAGGGGAATCCTTTATGCATACTCCGCGCCCCGGGGGGGACACGGTAGTTATGTGGGATTCTCTTCCATAGCGGAAGCATACCCACTAAACCCCTCTGTTCCTCCAACGCATCGGGACGGGACCACGGGCACGCTTTCGCTCTCGTCCGCGGCCCCGTCTGCGCCAGCTGCCGAGGCAGCTCCCTCACAGGGGCTCGTATGTCCCCTGATCTTATACAAAAAACCTCTTAGATAGAAAAAATAAAATTAACACACAAAACGCTACTTTCTCTTCTTTCTCTTTTTATAAAAATAAAAAATGGTTAACAAAATGTTTTTACACATGTATATTGATAGTGAAAACACGCGGAAGATATTCTCTGCCAGAAAAATGTCAAGGCATTTCTTCGTTCACATTGAGTTATCGATCCCGATTAGTTTGTGTCATTGTTTATGTGAATTCTTCACCTATCGCAATCGATCTATACTAACCAGTGGCGTTCAATGAACATGATAGACGGACAGACAGAATTTGCATGTTGCAATCTTGCTTACATATTTCTTTTATGTTTCAAATGTAATTGAGTAACAGCTGGGCTTGTGAAAATCTCGTTTAAGGTAATTCTGAGGTGGGTTTTTTTAATTAATTTTAATTAATTTCGTTTTGAAACAATTCCATGCGTGGTCATATCGATATTTTTTAATTGTTTTAATCGAAATTATAATACGTATTTGTAAGAGATAGGATGTAGTGAAATTGTTACAATATGACATATTTTTTTTTAATATTTCAGAATTTACGACTTTTATAATAAAAAACAGCGACGAAATTTTATGATACTTGTAAAAAACCAAAGTTTATTTTTATCACAATGAATAAAAACATTCAAACGTCACAAACCACAAAAAGATACAGTGCGGCAATACGTTGTAGATAAATTGTTGAATCGTACTAATATTATAAATGCGAATGTTTAGATGAATGTTTGTTTGAAGTTATCTCCAGAACGGGTGAACGGATCCTAATGAAATTTAGCATGGATATAGAACATAGTCTGGAAGAACACATAGACTAAAGTATTTTTTTTTTAATTCAGTGTGGACGGAGTTGCAGGTCACCTCTAGTAGAACATAAATAAACGTCTGTTTCCACTGCGAAAACTACGAAACCATTGTTATCCCTTTCATTCTGTACGGTAAAATTGAGATGACATGTGTTTATTATAATACAATGTTTCTGTAATGAAAACAAGCTGTATTAATACAAGGTTAAATATACAAATGATAAAGACTAAATTTAATTTGTAATTTCCTATATTGTATGCATTTTTCCTTTGATGACATGTTTGTGTAAATTTCCAAACCTAATATTTAATTTAAAAGATAATAAATACAGTTATTAAGGAAAAGTTAAACATCCTTGTTTGAACTTTCCATAATTTCAGCATTTAAATAATTTAATTAAATAAAATTATTAAACGAAATTAAATTAAACTTATGTGAGACATAAATAAACTTGAGCCAATAGCCTAATGGTTAGTACGGGTTTCCGATCACGAGGTCGAGTATTCGAATCCCGCCAATCGACTATTGTCGTAACTGTATCCCATTACATGCATACAGCTTGCTTGGAATGGTACATAAATATTAGTAAATTAACAAATATCTTATTTTTTTATAAGAGAAACAAGCAAACAAGCGGCGGGAACACCGAGGTGATCAACGCCACCCATGGACATCTGCAACACCGGAGGAACTGCAGATGCGTTGCTATCTGCTAAATTAGCAATATAACATATAAAGGGCAATAACTTACGCAATTTATCCGGTGTCGGCACTGAATAAGGGCCCTGAAGGCCTCGAAACTAATTTTATCCAATTTATAATATTATTTTCTTTCAGCCCATCCTTTAAAATAGTCACAAGTCGCTTAAAAGTTATATAACATCTTTAGTATAGATTTGTCATTAACTTACATTATAAAGAGGAATTATTTGTATTTTTATATGTAACTAATAAACTCAAAAACTACTTTGACCGATTTGTTTACCTTTGTCACTTAGCAATATAGACTATATTTATTATACAGGATGTTCATTTTTTAATTCCGTGCGAACAAATTCGCGAATTAAAGCTAATCATAGACAAGTTATTGTTCATTTTGAAAATGCCATAATAAATGCCGTTTTATTTAAAAGTGAACTTAGACTTTTCACAACATATATGCGTAAAAAAACATCTTGTCATCCCTTTCATTTTGTTCGTATAAAATAGGGACCACGATAATCTAATACAAATGTCAAGAATCAAAACGTGACTTGAATTGAAAATTATAAAAAAAACCGTATAATCCATAGACAAATTGATGACACCAATGGACACCGATTCGCGATTTGATTATAAATTTAAAAAGATGTTAATGCGTAATAAAAATAAATAAAATCTTTATTTAGAACGGTAACTCCGCGGGGTTTTCCGAAGACGACTCTAATTTAGAATAGTAAACCAAACAATCTTACTAATATTATAAATGTGAATGTTTGGATGGATGTTTGTTACAAGATATGTAGAACATATACTGGAAGAACATGTAGGCTATAGTGTATTTTAATTCTGCGCGAACGGAGTCGCAGGCGACAGCTAGTCAAGGGGAAATAAAAGGAGAAATCTTTTCAAGAAGAAAACCACTTATGTGAAAACTTATCCTTTATCATTTGAGTAATTATAGTACCTCACTTTTATATTTTTTGTTAAACATCTTAACAATACCTAATTTTTAAATTGTGTAATGACTCATATGCGTTATTCTAATTGTTTTTATTTTACAAATTGCAATGTAATTTTGTAGATGTTGCAAACAGATCGTCTTTGTTTTCGATCGACGTTTCATTACAAGGATTTATTTATAAAGATTCTTCATATCGATTCATTAGTTAATAGAAACCTCTTTGTAATCACAGACTGATTGAACGATGTTAATTATGAATTAATTTAATCAGTTTTCAATGCATTTCTTATTAAAATATGTAGTAAGGTTGTCAACACATTAATTCATTTTTATTAAAATATTATTTAAGTAAC